CCCCTCACGCCGCGGAACTCGCTTTGTCCTCGTGGAATTCGCCTTCATAGCGGCTGCCATCCTCAGAACCACAGATGGAAACCTATAAGGTCAAGGGCACAATCAAGGATTTAACTGTTCATATTGATTTCACATCATTTAGCGATCCAAAAATGGAGATGCCACCAATGAATATATGAATAATGATGTCTAGTGATCAATGGGTTGGTTGAACCAAAACCTAGAGGAAAGCATGGCTTTAGCTCCACCTATGGAGGTGTCTTCAAATTATTTCGGTGAATTCTAAAGGAGATGATCCCCCAAGATGGAGAGATTGTAGAGTGTAGGCCAGCATCATCGGCTGTGGAGAAGAATGAGGGAACATACCGTTTGGAGAATATACAGTGCTCATCAGTACTCTCTCCTCACATACCTGGTGATCGATCTATTTTCGCGCTTTTCATAAGTCAAACGTGATGACATGCATCCGTTTTGGTATGCTTGGTGAATCCGTGCGTCATTATTGTTGTTTAAAGCTGGTTTTTGCCGATGGAACTTCCACTTGTTGAAACATTAATTCGCTCCTGTAGTGGGGGCGTTTCGAGTCCTGTTCAAAGAAATCCAAGTCCCAACTTGGGGGTGCAAAGACAAAAGTTCATCATAAAATCTGATCAAATCCAATCTCTTTCAAACCCCATCCATTGAAGTCACCAAGACCAAAACCCATTAATCAGCATAGATAACTAACAACAAATCTTCAAAATCACTTAGAAGTTGAAGATCCATTGATCAAACTCCCAAACTCATTGGCTAAATTCTGATCCGCCATGCCGCGCCGAGCGGCAGGCCGCTCCAAGATGCCGTAGCCGGTCTTCATTCCATCCTCCACGCTGCGAGCTCGGAGCTGAAACCGGGATTCAGGGAGCTTGGCCAACGGCCAGAGGTTTTTCTGCTGGGCCACCCGGAAAACAAGTTCTAGGTAATATATATATATATTTATATTTATATTTTTTGTGTATGACTGTATATATGTATAATATATATATATATGTAATATACATATATATATGTAATATAAATAAATATATATATATATACAATAATATATATATATATATACATATATATATATATTAACGGATATATACTATAGATTCTATATATTATATTATATATATATTATATTACATTATATATATATCCGCGTGTGTGTGTGTGTCTTCATTCCCGGAACTTCCCAACCTTTACGGATAAACCAGTCGGAACATGACAACAAGAATGCTGACATCAAATGCAAGGACATAGCTGGTGGCTAGTGTAATTCACGTGCATGTGTTGATCAACAGCAGATATTTTTGTGAGAAATGCGCATCTATCTGTACCCAGTACCGGTAACATGGCAAATCTTAGATACCCTGCCCTTCTCCCGCTAGTATATCTGTAACAAAATATGAATTGACAATGAAAGGAGTACTCTGTCCAGGGTTGACCCAGAATGCGGTTTTATTCCCACTATACCCCGCTGTTCTTTAAATCCAGCCTATAATAAATCCTCAAAACTCACCATATTTCCAAATTTATCCCTGGTTTCGCATGGTTTATCTGCTGGACATACATTATTCCTCATGACATCCCATTAAAACCCATGAAAAATCTCTATTTGTTGATGGCTAGCACACTCCAAGTAGATAGGAACAGTTGGACACCTGGAAACTCTGGAGGAAACATCATCGAACCACCATCCTGGTCACACACTTTTCGGGATCTTTCTTGGGACCGCCCTAGACCAATTTTGACGGAAATGATCCAAGTTGAACCGGACTGGTTGCTTCTATCCCCACTATATCCTCAGTATGGTTGTATAAATCTTCAGCTTTATCCCAGCACCATACTAATAGCTGGACATACAACCTACAAGGATATCCTCATGAAATCCCATGAAAAATCGATTAGTGAAACCACGATTTGTTGATGGTTTTTCCAAGGTTCACCCAGGTTCTTGGCAGAAACCATCCATGGGATTCTGCAGTTTTCAAACCCGAAGGATCTCCTGGAATTTGCCCAGAAACCGCAGGCCGCCGTCGAGGAACACGGCGGAGTTCTCCTCCTCCGTCGGATCCTGGCGGTTTTCAGCGGTTGCCGTCAGAAGGGGATGGCATGGTTTTGGGATCTAGCCATAGGAAAAAAAAACATCTAAAATTGATAAAGGTGTGGGGATTTCCATGTTTTTATTTTTCGGACAATCAAACGATGTTTTCAAACGAAAAAGAAGCATCACACAAGGTGTTTAGATGTGTTTAGTCACCAAACATGAGCACACAATCAAATAAACATGTGAGTTTATATTGCGTTATGCGTTATGCATCTGGCAACCCACCAGTTGTGATTCCCGGAAGGGGCTTGGGACAGCAGGGAAACCAGAAGGAGCATAGCAAACCAGCGACCAAGTGGAACGCGACCCGTCAAGAAAAATTGATCAAACATGATCAAGCTACTTCCCACATCTTCCACAAAACCGAACATCTGTTTCGAATGTCTAAGATCAGTGACGAGAAGCAATACGGCAAGGACCAAGAGGGACAGGTGGTCCATAGTCCATAGGCTCATAATTCCAGATTTCTATTTCTATGCCATTAGCATCCGTTCGTTTCTTCCTCTCTAGTCTGAAATATGCAACAAAAAATGTTGGTAGTTGGTGACCTCCATCTTTTACCACACCAAAACCACCACTATTTCCTGGTGGACGTTGGGCCCCACACAATATTGACCCGGTCCCAGCGCCCCGACATGGGAATGGGGCATGGAGGGTGACATGCTCGGCATGGACACCGCAAGCTCATTCCGGCCGGGAGCATCCTGGCCTTACAAAGGTCAGCAGGACCCACACCCCCCCCTCCGAGGTGACTCCCCCAAGAATTAATAATAAGGGTTTATCAACTATCAAAAATAGTGCAATAACTATACCTATAATGAGTCATATATCACCAACACTTTGATAACTAACCACCGGCAATCAACAAGGGCAAATTTTCAACATCGCAGCGTTCAGCTTCTGCCGAGTTCCCAGAACCGTTGTAAAAAAATCATTCAAATACCGCGCTAGAAGCCATGGATTTTTATTGGATCTACTCATATCTACTCACATGATCCAATCAGGGGGGGTATCCACTACGGGAAAGGGATTATATAATCAAAATGATCATGTTTCAAACACGCGGCCAGCAACAGGTTCACCAAAGAGGACATGACTGAACAAAAACACAGCTGGCAGTGGAGATTGAATTTCTACCCAACAACCGGAAGGTGGCCAGTTGTATCCTATCCCATTACTGGCTCAAGTTGCTGGGATCAGAAACTGGGACTGCACCAGCCCCAGCACATGTAACCCATCCCAATTTTCAATGGGCTTATGTATAGTGAAAAAACTTCAAGCGGAACCCATGGTTGTTTTAACATATTTCAACCAACAAAATTCGGAGTTTGCTACAGTTTCCCGTGAAAATTCCCATCATCAAGTTCAAGGAAAGTAGTTTAACTGGTATTCAACACAAAGATGCACAAGCAGGGCCGGCCACCCTGCAGGCACCTGGTTCTAGGATTTCGTAATATTCATTGGTTGGTGGCTTCAACCCATGAAAACACAAGGACCGCATCTTCTGCAGCAGGAGCATTTCGGAGCAGAGTCTGATTGGGTGAGGTGAAGAAAAGGTGGCGCAACAAAATCACAGGAAGAACAAGAAAATGCAGCCCTGACATCCAACAGGAAAATCCCAACATGGCCGTATCCAATCTGAATAATTATAGCAGAACATATCCGACAATAACCTTCCCAACCATAATCCAAAGTAGTTCGATGCCATTCAAGTATATAATGTAAAGTATGATTACTTGTATTTTGTTTATAGATATAATTCTATGCAATTATATTATCTATAATTAAAAATATAGATATAGCATGATATAGCTAACCTTCCCTGGTCTGCTTTAAGAGCATTCTCCCGTCAGCTTCTCAGCTTCAGCGGCTGGACAGTCCACGCTCCACCAGGCCGGCCCCGTTCTCGCTACAGCAACAAGGCGGAAGAAGCAAATTCCCCATGGCCCATGGCACGGTCCGGGGCCCCTGCGGCTACATTTAAGGCACCCAACCAGCTGGGGGAAACCCCGCACAGTAAGTAGGGACTGGTTGGGGGTAGTGGGTGGGGGATGAAACTGGCAATGGCTAGGAGCTGAAGCCATGAAGCATGTGGGATGAATATGAGGTAAGCCTTCCAATCGATTCCGTTACGGCGTTGATCCTGCCCCCGCCGATCTGCTCATTGTGCCCTGCCCTTGTGCCCAAAGCGCTGGCAAAGATCTCAGGAGGTTGTGTCGGGTCTTGGGTGAGTTAACCATGTCCATGGACCGAAAGGTGATGTGTGGCACCAAGCAAAGGAAGGAAACAAAAGAACCCACTCGACTCCTACTTGAGGGCGCAGTTGAGGTTACAATAGATATAAAGAAATTAAATAAATGAATATAACCATGGTTATAGACCCCCATTAGTTGGGACGTAAGCTAGCAAACCTCATAACTAGTATATATATATATATGTATATATATACACTTCTAACTGGGGCTGCACTTTCAAGTAGTCAAAAACCTTGGCTCAACCACAATCAACCGATAAAGGATGGTCCACAAAACATGGGTGCTACTGATGAGAATCAGTGAGGTTTGCCAGTAGCGAATGGGAAATCACCATGTCTGCGATCACGAGTTGATTGTTGAAGTTGCTGCTTGTATGTCCACACGCGCATACAGGGCCTATCGGCACAAAAAAATATGTATACAGTAATTTCCCTCTCTCTCCTCTCTCTGTACTTCTATATCCCATGTTGATGAGTACAATCCGGCTATGTAACAAACTTCCTTCAGGATCCTTCTGGTTGTGTCTTCCCAACTTGCCCCCACCGGGTATCATCTGGGCAAAGTCCTGTTGACCCATCTGGGATGCAGGCACAGCCCACGGCCACAACACCCTCTTTTCCCGCACTGTCCAGTAAAGGCGCTCTCACCTCAGCGCTTCGACTCTGCAGCTGGTAGAAAAGTCACCAGGAACAAGCTTCAGCTATAACAGCTGTTTCCTATTCAGTGGTGATATGTGGTGATACGGTTGGATTGGGCGTTCTTTTCTCTTGTCTCTTTCAACCTTCTCATTGGCTGGGCAGGTTGCATCCCGTAAGCGGCATATATGAGGATTTTGTCCCATCATGTGCTAGCTAGCTTCTCGATGGGATTGCGAAACAAAGAGAACTAAATCTACAACTAACCATTGTCAAACAAATGTATTGTGAGAGGGCAGGGGTCAGATGCAAAGCGCAATAGAAGCATGGTGGGGACAACCAACGTAACAATGGAACATAGTTGTGAGAATTGGACTTACTGGTATCTTAGTATATATTCTGGTTGGTGGTTTCAACCCCTCTGAAAAAATATTGGTCAGTGTCAGTTGGGAAGATTATTCCAAATATCTGAAAAATAAGAATATCCCAAATCACCAACCAGTATTGGTCTCGTAGTCTAAGGACACACCCGCACATATAGCACACAATATGGTTGGTGCTCTCAAGTGCTCTCCTCACCTGCACCGCGAATATATTGGATTTGCCCAAGGGCTACACAAGCAAATAACACATCTCCAACATACATCCCAATTTCTGCCGAGTTCCCCCTTTATCCATCAACAAAGTCAACAACAACCCGGAACCCCCACTCACCCAGGAACAAAAACAATTCCACAAAAACGAGAATCAACATTTTGGTTAATTTCCATGAACTTCCCATTATACAATCCGTGTTGAAGAAAGACGCCAAGGACAAAAGCAGCAGCTTTTCCAGCTCCCAACTCGCGTGTCGCGCGGACGCAGTGACCAGCGACCAACTCAGATGATGCCGATGCGATTGGCCACGTCCAGAGCATCGTAGTCCTGGGTCAAGCGAACGTAGGCCTTCTTCTTCCTGACAGCATAGACGGTTTAACCGAATATGAGGAAAACATTGTCTTGAACCATGAAACTTGGGGATCTACGGTACCAGGGATATAACCAACTTGGAATGGGCATTAAAAAAATGAACATCATGAAGATATAGTTGGAAAAAATGGGGAGGGGTTAAGCCATGAATGATGGACTGGCGGGATAATTTTGGGGATATTCCATGGGAATATACCAACCATAGTGGGATGATAATGATTTAATGGTGACAGTGACAATCATGAGATATGTACAGTGGTCAACTTGATATGATATTTGAGTGTGTTTGCACATGAGGTATGCCCCCAAAATGAGGAGAATGACTATTAGTCAGTGGATTTGGGGAAACCCTATTTACAACCAAAACCATTTGTTTAAAGCTGGGTCCAACCGTCCCTATTTGTGATCTTGCACTAAACTGTGCTGGTATGGCTCAGGTCCAAGATTGAAGTTATCAAACTGGTACTCTCCATCTTGCTACCCTACGTTCAAGACTGCAGAATGAAACTGTATTAAACTCCTCAAGGATGAACCAAAACACGAATCAACATGGATTAACCACCTATGGACCAAGGTTGAATGTCCCATTGATCCAAGGCTCCCATCAGGGCGGATGAGGGTGTTGACCTTGGCGCACTTCACATCGTAGAGCTGCTTCACAGCGTCCTTGATCTTGGGCTTGGTGGCCTTGACATCCACCAAAAACACCAAAGTGTTGATCTCCTCAATCTTCTTCATGGCGGACTCTGTGGTCACAGGGCACTGGATGATGCGGTACTTGTCCAGCTTGTCCCCTCGAGACTCCACGGACTTTCGAGGGTATTTGCCATTCCTGGCCTGGAGGTTGAGCCATGCACCCCAAAAGGGAAAACATTGGTGTCAGTTGGGATCTTCATCATGAAAAGGGTTGCAACTCATCAAAGCAATGAATGAAATATGATGAAACCAGAAACAATTGGCCTTTTCCAAGGTCTTGGGCTTGTAGAAGCGAACCTTGGTTCGGATCTTCTTCACCTCAACAGGGTGCTACAATGAGGAGACTGGACTGATGGATGGAAACATGTCATGCAGTTGCTCTATGTTTCTGCCGATGTGTTTTTTCGCAGCAAGATTCGATGACAGTCATTTTGAAACAAAAGGCAATGCGACTACAGCAACTGCTTTTGATGGGCTGGTGTTGGGCCCTTACTAGTTATTTCACCCCTTCCGGTATGTTGTAAACAATCACATTCTTCAAAACATGCAGGAAACAAGAAATATAAAACCAAACACATCCCTAAAAACGCAAAACAACAATCCAGAAAAACGGTGGTGTCAGTTCCCCAAGGCCCATTTATTACACAGCTTCATCACCACAAAAAGTTTCATCCATTTTCGGGGCGTTTCTCCATGGAGCCCCCCCATGTGTTTGCCACCTTCTTGCCAACGCTGGTCTTCACCGCTTTCGCCGCCTTCTCGGCTTTGTCGGCCTTGGCCTTGTCGGCCTTCTTAGGCGCCATGCTGCGTGCGACGGGAACTGGCAGGGGTTTTCCGCTGGAGCCGGGCGGATGGGACGATTTCATAAGCAAAACTGGGGGGTCCAAATAGGATTTGGCAGAAAAACATGATGTGGTGAAACACCA